GTTTAGACTCTAATCGCTATCCATTAATCTCAAACCATTAAATAAAAATTTTATGAAATATTTTATTTGTAACGGTTTTGAAATATATAAATTTACCAAACACTTATATTTAGTAATTTAAATAAAACCACTAACTGCTATCCTCAAACCGCTATACCAAACGAGCTTTAAATGAGCTCTCATAATTTCTTTAACTATATATTTAGGCTGAAATGAATGGAGGGGGAGAGTAGGCAAGAAGAGGGTTTTCCTTCTTCCTTTATTTGGATAACTAAATAAATTAAAACAAACGATAATGTCTTTAACTATATATTAGGTTGAAATGCACACCTATTGTCATCCCTACCCCAAATGTAACACGGACTTGAGTGCTTAACTTTTCATAGTGAACTTATTTATGATTAAAAAGCAGAGTTTTTTGTATTCTAACGGTGAGGTTATTTTTGTGTTAATTTATGCGTATTTCGAGAATAATTCCTCTTTAATACAATCAGTGGTAGGTTGTTCATGTCCAAACTAAAAAATTTATGATAAACTATCGCTGTAGCTGTCTCCTAAATAAAGAGTTATTCGGCATCAAATTAAGATCATGGATTTGGGCTTTTAATTTACAGTTGGGCTAACATAGAACTGGGATTTTTGGCACAAATTCATTTATGGTTTGTGCCAGGGATCATATTTAGATTGTACGGATCTGGATTCTAAAACCAAATTTTAAGCCCATCTTTTGGGCTCAATGAACTGAAGCCCATATTTGAAATATTTTTTTCATAGAATAAGTTTTTCTTTCTTTAAGAAAAAAACATCCTTAAAATAAGCATTCAATCATAAATTTATTGAAACTTGAGATGACATTTGTTTTGAAAAAAAGCTTGAATCTTTTACTGTCCTTTATTATTAAAAAAAAAAAAAAAACCCTCTTCTCAATCATTCTAACAGTTATATTTGCAGTCTCCAATTTCTATTTTTTTTTTTTCTAAATATTATAAGTTTAAGGATTTGAACTTAGAATGTCAAAAAAAACCTCCTCATCCATTGTGTTTTAGCAATTAGTCAATCAATCCATGGCTGCTGATATCTTGGTTCAAACTATTGGCATATGATCAACATTTCCCCCAATTTTTCTATCATTACATAGTAAGAAAAATTGTAAGAGCCATGGGAATTCTCTACTTCTGCATCAACAGAGAAAAATTATTCTTAAGAAGTACACCAAAATAGACTTCTGTTATTAATTAATTTTCTAATTTTCTCTCTTTATTTAAATTCTCCACCACACATATAACATGCACAAGAAGTCAAACCTCTCCAATGAAAATTCACAATCAATCAATTATGGAAAATGATTCCTCTTGGTCTAGAATGTGGAATCTCCTAACACATTGGTATTTCTTTTCCTGGCGGGGGGCAGGCTAAAGTGGACACAATTATTGCATCTTCCATGCTTCCTTGGATTTCTATGGTCCTCATTGTCGTCACATGTAAAATTATAACGTTCACACATATTATGTTAAAAAATATAAGTTTTATTTGATTTAATGATTAAAAAAAATAATTGTAATTGTTAATTAATTATTAATATAATAACTAATATTTATTACATAATATATTAAAATAAAATTATAACTTAATATTTTTAAATAACATAATTAATTCTTTAAAAAAATTAAAATTTATATAAGATTCTTTTGAGAAATAATAATCAAATATTATTTTTTTATAAGTAAATAGGAATCGCATTCATTCTTAATATAAACCTTTTACATAATTCACACAAAAAGATTTCAACAAAATAAAATGACTCACTTGAATCTATCTTTATGAGATTTTTATATAATATAACAAAATAATAAAAAAAAATATGAGAATTTCAACTTTTATGCAATTCTTAAGAATATCAATCTTGATAACTAATTAATGAGAATATTTAAGAAAATTAGTTTATTATTATATCACATTTTTCAAATCTATCTAAAATATATATTATAATTTGATATTATAGTTTACTGATAAACATCAAACATTATATAAACTAATTGATTGTAACAAAACCTCCATTAGAAACCTAAGAAAGACAAAGTTTCTTATTGAAAATCAAAGGAAAATAAGAAAACATGAAGCCAAAACGGTTACACAAATCCCTAGGAAGATCCTAGGAAGCCGGCTGCCCAAACAAGAAGAAAAAAGATGGGCTAGAGTTTTGTTTCGAGAGAAGAGGCAAAAAGCTTCCTTGGATGTCATTGTATAGTTTTTCTATTGTAAGACCCTAGGGTTGCATGATATGAAAAAATAATTGATCGATAATTATTATTTAAGTTTATTTAATACATATTTTTAGAACATAAGTTAAGAATTTAATTATTTTCAATTTTTATTATTTATATAAAAAATAAAAGTTGAAATTAATTTTATCAATTGTTCAATTAAAAAATTTATATGGCAAGAGTGCAAAAATTAATGTCAACTTTTTTTTTTAATTTTTTTCATGTAAATTAATTTTAAAAAGTGTATTTAATACAACATTAACTTGTGCCTTAGTGAACAAATTAGGCATAGGTTAGACACAACCTCATTATTTTTTTATCAACACAGACAAAGCCAATAATCTAAATAACTCAGTGGTAATTTCCTTTCAACAGAAATAAGAGATCTTGAGTGCAAGTCGCATAACATGCGAGTGGAGTGGAATAAGGGATAGGAGA